AATCATTATATAGTGCCCTTCCTGATCCTTTGTGGTGGATTTTACTTTAAAGTCTATTTTGTCAGAGATTAATATTGCCACTCCTACTCTTTTTTGAGTGTTGTTTGCTTGATATATTTTTTACATCCTTTGAGTTTTAGCCTGTTTGTGTCTTTAAGTCTAAGATGCGTCTCTTGTAGGCAGCGTATAGATGGATCATGCTTTTTTCTCCAATCTGCCACTCCTCGTCTCTTTATTGGTGCATTTAGACCACTTACATTCAACGAAATTATTGATAGGTATGAGTTTACTGCTGTCATAGGATATTGTTTTTGAATTAAGTATATTAATGCATCAAAAAAAGGAATGAATATGGAAAATTCTTTATAAATAGTCATCTGGTAGAAAGATATTATCATTATTTGAGAAAAAAGATTAATTTTTTTAAACCATGGGAATACTTTAAAGAGTTATTTGCTGAAAGAAGACATGATGACCTTGTGGTTTTGATTCCTTCATTTTTAGTATTCCCTTTGGGGCTTCCAGACATAACATACACCAAAGAAGATGAAAGATTCTTCTCAAGAACATTCCATGGTTCTGATCTTGATTTTAAAATAGTTTTAAGTGTAATAGAGAAAAGATTCCTCAAAAATAATGTAATATATTTATTATAGGGCAAGTTCAGAACACAAAACCCAAAGAAAGAGTCAAGCATATAACCCAAAGAACAGGGCTGAAAAGGTAGGCCAGAGGGAAGACCATGGTTCTTATTGAAAACTGCCCCTCACGGAGGCCCCATCACCTGCCCTGGAGAGGCTCTTGCTGACTAAAGGTGGCATTCATTCACAGGCAGGCAGGTGGAAGGGAGAGAGACAAAGGCAGAGACTAGCAGGTTTGAACAGCGGAGCCATGGCTGGTTTCCCCTCCTCCAACCACAGCCAGCAGGAGTGGCTAGCCGATGGGTCTTTCTACTTAACCTTTGACCTTCCCTGGTAGATGGGTCCTTCTACTTAACCTTTGACCTTCCCTGGTAGCAGCAAAGCCTATGTCACAGTTTGGGGCCCTGTCCTTTCTTGTGAGAATATGGAGTGAAAGGGAACCATCTGGCAGTTCATTGCTGTGATTGACTCTGCTTCCAGCTGGGGACCTGAGTGGTGTACTGAAAGTGGCCCAGAAGGCTGAGCAGGCTGCCCCAAGGGAGCGAGAGAGAGCAGAGAATTAGTCTCTGAGCCTGAGTGGAGGCCTCTGCCCCCTCCTTTACGTTGGAATGGCGCTTTACAGTTTACAAACCACTTTCATATTTCATCCTTGTTACCAAGTTGGTGATCTAAGCAAGGAAGGTATTGTTACCTCCATGTTGTAGGTGAGAAGACTGGAGCTCCTTGACATGAGAATTATGAGGAGTTTACAGGGTCATGGAAGTATCTGTGATATAATTAGGACCAAAGAACGCTGGGATTCTGCTCTGTGAATGGAATGCATGTGGCCAGTGCTGAGGGGACCCAGCTGACTTCTTAGTGGTCACGTTGTGGTTGGCATTTTTCCTCTTCTAAATTTTCTCTTGACATAATGTTTTTCATGTAGTTTAAAAAGAAACAAGGCATTCCTGTTCCATGGGATTAGGCCAGAAAGCAACTGAATTACTAAGACTAATTGGAAAAATAGCCTCTTAGTGCATTGAAGCGGCAGCCAGCTCTGACTGTAAATATACCTCACACTCTTGGCAGGTTTGTGACTATGTTAAGAGAGGGTTTTGCTCATTGGGGTAATTTCTGTCTATCGTTTGATTCAGGGGTGTCTTTGCTTGGAGAGGGTGCCTGGTGAGTTTTTTTTTCTAACTTATGATGTATCCTAATGAATTACCAAACATTCTTTACAGCTTAGAGTATTCTCAGCTTCCAAGCGGCCTCGTCATCAACAAAGAATCTGAAGTTTACAAGATGCTTCAGGAGAAACAGGAGTTAAATGAGCCTCCGAAACAGTCCACTTCATTCCTGGTTTTGCAAGAAATTCTGGAGTCTGAGGAAAAAGGTAATCAGCCCTATGTATGTGGTCAAAGGCCCTTGTTCAAGGCCTGAGGTAAAGGTCAGTCATTGATGAAACACAGATGAGCACAGCTTGGAGTGGGAGGAAGGAGCACAAAAAGGGAGGGAATGGGGTGGCAGGGGTGGGGTGGGGGACCTGACACACCTTCCTGCCTGGGCCTTTGTTTAAGAAGCTCAGTACCTGGTTGACTGCTTCCTGTCATGTGTAGATTAGGATGTGGAGGTTGGAGAGTGAACTTGACTGTTGTGGGATCCTGTTGGTGTGTTCTTTGGCCCTTTTGTTTGGTTTGAGCCCACATACATGTTCCTGTGGTAGTTGGCAAGGGCAAGTGGGTGAGGGCCAGGGATGATGACAAGCAGAATGAAAATGAATCAGCAGCACCGTGAAACAGGCACTGAGCTCTCACTTTGGGGCCATGTGTTTGCTCTTGCCCTAGCCTGGGTGGCACCTTGAGGGCCTGTGTCCCCAGTTTGGCTACCTCCTCACCTATGACCTTAGACAAGACTCTGAGTGTCTCTGGGGTTGTTTTCTCATCTGTCAGTCGGGGTTAACAATCCTTTCCTCAAAGATTGTTGCAAGAATCAAATGCCATAAACTGTGCAAAACACCCATCACTGTGACTGGCACAGAGTAGGTGTTTGATGATGGTTATTATGCTTGAAACCAGATTAAAAGAGCCCCCAGGTCAGCCTTAGCTTGTCCATGTGTGAGCTCTGATGCCCGAGGCCCCATGGCCACCCAGTGTGATTCTGCAGGTCTAAGGAGACAGATACTCTTTGCATTTGTAGACATCATATACGCTATGTGTGTATGTGTATATAGTGTATATATTATGTATATAGCAGTGAGAATATATGCAACAAAACAGTCACCAATTCAACAGTTTCTACATGTATAATTCAATGACATTGATTACGTTCTTCATGTTCTGCAACCATTATTGCTAACCTTTTTCAAATTGTTCTGTCACCATTAACATAAACTCAATGCCCCCTAAGCAAAAATTCTCTTTTTTTCCTTCCTCTGATCCCTGGTAACCACTGATAGTCTTTGGTTTACATGTATTTGCTTATTTCATGTAAGTGAGAGCATATAGTATTCATCCTTTACTATATATTTATTGGGATAATTTTCAAGCAGATAGCAGTAAAGGCATCTTATTTTAACAACAACCTAATATTATGAAAAATTTGTGATGGATGGAAGTGTTGAAGAAGGGATGTCTTTTTATAATTCTCACAAAGGTGACCTGTGGATCAGCAGTCCTCAGGCCACCTACCTTCCCGGAATATATATTTTTAAGAAGCACATCTTGTGACTGCCGTCAGCCTAGCTGCAAATGACTTCTCTGGAGAGTTGGGTTTTGCACCGTCTCCTGGTGGCCTGCAATGCCCAGCTCTCCACACTCTGCCATTGTCCCTTTCTGGGAGGCTCAGGCTCCTTCTGCTGCTCTCCTCTCTACTCCGCAGTGTGCCCACCTGCAGAGAGAGAGTTGGCACTCCCTGGAGGGAAACCTGGTGATTCTGCTGGGCTGACCACCTGAGCCAGGCTCCAAAGGGATTGATTATTTGCTCAGGACAGCCAGTGAGGGTCAGAGCTGAGGTGCTCCGCTCTCTGCAAGGGTAACCTCCCTCCTCAAAGGCCCCAGCTGCAGATTTGGCTTCCTGAGGAGATCTTGCTGAGTTGACAGTTCCTCTGTTGAACACACTCAACACCTAGGCTTCCTCTCCATTTGTGTAGGTTCTTTAGAGGGAGTGGTAATTTACACCCACAGGAAACTAGGAAGAAAGTGCTTCTTTTATGCTAAAAAGACACTGTTCTACCAGCAATTTCACCTTTGCTTGTAGTATATCTGCAGTGGGGAAGTGTCTTAGTTTCTTAGTGCTGCTGTAATGCAAATACCACAAGTGGATGGCTTTAAAGAACAAAAATTTTTCTCAAAGTTCTAGAGGGTAAAAGTCCAAATCAGAGTCTCAGCCATGTTGATTCCTTCCTTGTACCCCAAACATTCGTTGGTTTCCTGGCTTGTAGACGACCCCCCATGGTTCCTTTCTTTCCCTGTGTAACTCAAGCGATTAGATTTAGAACCCATCCTACTCTAGTATGATCTAATTAACGTAACAAGGAAAATCCTATTTCTGAACAGGGTTACATGCACAGGTATAAGGGTTAGAATTTCTAACACATGTTTTGGGGGAACACAGTTTAATCCATAACAGGAAGTAATGAACCATAGTCTGTATCAAGTTCCGGTATTAGGCCAGGCTGACAAATGATGTGGGGGGCAAGTCTGAGGAGCACAGCTTTGTCAAAACATTTGAGAAACCACAACTTATTCTACTCTGAGTAAGCGGGTGTGAAACCCATCAAATAAGAGGAAAAGTCAGTCCATCCCAGTCCAAACTAGGATGTAAACAGATACTGCAGAGCTCATTTGGCCGAATGCCCTTAGGTCATAGAGACAAGCCTGAGGCCCAAGATCACGAAGCTGCTCTGAGGTGGAGTTGGCAGCTCCACCTTCATCGAGATCTGGACTCTGCTGTCCTGTGCTCCATCGGCCAAGCCCACAGCTTTCATTCTCAGGGTGTCCTCATGGTCCTAACTGGCAGCTAGAGCTCCAGCCATCATGCCCACTTCCAGGCATCAGGAAAGAGGAAAAGGGCAAATTAGTGACTCCCCCATTCCAGATGAGTCACTTTTCTCCCTCCCTCCCAGAAGTCCCACACCACTACTCCATTTCCATTTTATTGATCAGAATTTTGTCACATGGCCACACTTAGTTGCAAGGTGCTCTAGGAATTATAGTTTTCTCCCGCTAGGCTGGCTGTCTTCTTGCCCCGAAGAAAATCAGGATTTTGCTAAAAATGAAGGAGAGAATGGATCTTGTAGTCTCTCCTGTACCTCCTACTACGTACTTGCATTGAATTTTCACGTAAAGGAAGAGGATAAATTCTGATCCAAAACTGAAGGGAGAAAGGGGACTTTTGGTAAGTGGAAGGGAGACATCAAGGGAGAAAAAACCCGGCGATCTGCTCCCATAAAGATTACAGCCTAGGAAACCCAAGGGGGCAGTTCTACCCGGTCATATAGGGTTGCTCTGGGCTGGAATCGACTGGACAGCACACAACACCAGTTGAGAGGGAAGAAAGAAGAGACATTTCTTTCAATTTGCAGTGTTGGCTGGATAAGTGAGGAAAAAATTGTGCCAGCAGATGGCGCTGCAGAACGGGAGTTGGGGCTGGACAAACCTTAGTGAGGATGGCTTTATCCACCCCAGCTGTGTCCAAATTTTTCGCATTCGCTTTTCTTCATTCCAAAATGGGATGTGAATTCTCCTTCTCCCAAGTAGGGCTTTCATATCCCTCCTCGGATTTTCTTCTTCTGCACTGCTGCACCTCCTGCCTTTTCCTGGCTACTTTTCTGCTGACTGAGTTATGTGATAAACAGCCCAAAAGGCCTAGGTTGCTGCTTTAGCCCCATGACATTATGAAGGAAATTTTCAGGAGGCTGCCCTCTTGTTGCTCCCTATAAGCCAGAAAAGTAGCCCAAACTAATAATTTGAAATAACGCACATTAGTTAGCCGTGGCTTCAAACAGCAAGTGCATTTCTTGCTCATGTTACATGAGAGCTACTGGTCAGCTGTGGCTTGGCGGAGCTGGGCTTGGCTCATTCTGGGAGCCAGGTGGAGGGAGGAATCGCTCTCTGGGGCGTTGTGTTCTCATGGCAGAGGGCAGAAGCTCAATGGGAACAGGGCCAAACCACAGAAATGCATTTAGTGCTTTTGTTTAAACATGGCTTACATCTGCTCACATTCCATTGGCCAAAACAAGTCACGTGGCCAAACCCACTGTGAGATGGGGAAGCAAATTCCACCTAGAGCAGAGTTTCTCAGCCTTGGCAATTGGCACTGTTGACAGTTTAGGTCAGGTAAGTCTTTGTTGTGGGGCTGTCCTGTTCATTTTTAGGATGTTTGTAGCATCTCTGGCCTTTACAAAGGAGCCCTAGTGGTGCAGTGGTTAAGTGCTCAGCTGCTAACTGAAAGGTCAGTGGTTCAAACCCACCTAGCAGCTTTGCGGGAGAAAAGACCTGGCCATCTGCTCCTGTAAAGATTACAGCCTAGGAAACCCTATGGGGCAGTTCTGCTGTGTCCTATAGAGTGGCTATGAGTTGGAATCGACTCCATGTCATACAACAACAACAACTGGACTTCACCTACTAGATGTTAGTAACACTTGTCCTCCCAACCAGTGGTGTCAATCAGAAATGTTCCCAACAGGGACAAAAATGCCCTGGGGTGAAGAACCTAATCTAGAAGGAAGCATGCAAGGTGGGGAGGGTATGGATGATTATGGACAAAATATACAGCTTACCACACTCAGCCAAAACAGTTAATAAATGCCCCTTGTCTGAACACATTTCTCAATTTTTTTGTTCAGAAGCACTGACCAACTCACAGGGACGCATTTTCTAAAAATACAAGCGCCCCAGCACTGCCCAGCATGGCTGCAGTTATGGAACGGCCGTTTCCTTACCCCTCTCTTCACACTGAGAGCCATTTCTTTGCTCTTGTCTGATGGATCTCAAAGTGAAGTTCCTGGGCCATCGTTGTCAACAACAGCTGATAACTTGTTAGAAATGCAAATTCATGGGCCCCACTCGAGACCCACTGAATCAGAAACTTGGGGGGTGTGCCCAGCAATCTGTGTTTTACCAGGCCCTCCAGGTGATTCTGATGAACAATCAAGCCTGAGAGAACAGCTGCATTAGTCTGAAGAAATGGATCTTAACCAAGGATGTAGAACAGAATCGGGAGATGATGCTCTGGTGATGCTCATTTGGCAGGTCTGGGGGAGGGCCTGGCCTGTGGATTTCATTAAGTCTTCCATGGTGCCTGGGCTGCTCACAGGTGCCTGTTCAGAACCAACACTCCTGTAGAGCCTTCTCCAGCTTTTTTGGCCAAAGTGTGTTGGAATAAGGTAGAGACCATCATGGCATTTGTCGTGGCATTTCGTCATTCATACCGTGTATTTATTGAGCCTTTGTTATTTGCTAGCCCTGTGCAAGGCTCCATGGGGTGTTAAAAAGTAAATAGAACAAGGTTCTGGTGATCAAGTAATTTGCAGTCCAGGCAGAGAGACATGTGTAAATAGCTGACTGTTATGGATTGAATTGTTTCCCTCAAAAATGTGTGTCAACTTGGCTAGGCCACGATTCCCAGTATTGTGTGGTTGTCCACCATTTTGTGATCTGATGTGATTATTCTATGTGTTGTAAATCCTACCTCTGTGATGTTAATGAGGCAGGATTAGAGGCAGTTATATTAATGAGGCAGGACTGAATCTACAGGATTAGGTTATATCTTGAGTCATTCTCTTTAGTGATATAAAAGAGAGAAGCAAGCAGAGAGGAGAGGGACCTCATGCCACCAAGAAAGAAGCACTGGGAGCAGAGCATGTCCTTTGGACTTGGGGTCCCTGTGCTGAGAAGCTCCTAGACCAAGGGAATATTGATGACAAGGACCTTCCCCCAGAGCTGACACAGAAAGCATTCCCTGGGAATTGGTGCCTTGAATTCGGACTTCTAGCCTTCTAGACCACGAGAGAGTAAATTTCTGTTTGTTAAAGCCCCCGCTTGTGGTATTTCTGTTATAGCAGCACTAGATAACTAAGACACTGACGAATATAACAATTCTGCTAGACTACATCACAGTAAAAAATAAGTGCTATGGAAGCACAGCCAGCTGAATATATAGTAACAGCAGTAATAATAAGGTTGTTGTTAGCTGCTATTGAGTTGGCCCCTGACTCACGGTGACCCCATAAGTTACAGAGTAGAATTGCTCCATAGGGTTTTCTTGGCTATAATCTATGGAAGCAGATTGCCAGGCATTTCTTCCATGGAAATGCTGGGTGGGTTTGCACCGCCATCCTTTAGGTTAGCAGCCAGTTGCAAACTGCTTGCACTACCCAGGCTCCTACTAATATGAATTCGCTCCCATTTATTGAGGGCTGACCATGTGCCAGGTACTGTGCGGGGGGCCTAGGTAGATTTTCTCATCTTTTTGTACAACAGTGAAGGGAAAAATGATCCCCTGTTCTATAGAAAGGGAGACTGAGGACCAGAGAGGTTAACTAACTTGCCCAGGCTCACACAGAAGAGTCAGGTCTTTTTGACACCAGTGCTTATGACTTTGCTTGAACGTTACGTGGTTCTGAAAGCTAAATGATGCTTATTCAGTTCTGCCCTTCCTGGCCAACCTGAGTGTTTCTTCATTTTAGGGGATCCCAACAAGCCTTCAGGATTCAGAAGTGTTAAGGCTCCGGTCACCAAAGTGGCTGCATCAATTGGAAATGCTCAGAAGTTGCCCATGTGTGACAAATGTGGCACTGGCATTGTGTGAGTATCTGCCTCCCCCAGCCCTTGGAGGCCCTGCAGGTTGAGTAAGTCATAAAAATGCAGAAACTGCTGGATGTTGTACATTTTGGGTACGAAGGGGAAAAATCTTACCTGGAAAATTGGAAAAGAGAGGTCAGGTAGGTGGGTCCTGTGCCCCAGAGTGAAGAGGTGAAGGTCTTCCTTGGCCCTAGAGCCCTTAGGTTATAGACATGTGAAATAGAGAAGGCAGGGCTGGTCTGTGAAAGTAGGAAGGGCTTCCGGGGGAACTTTGAGAATAATGTCTCTGGACCTCAGGAATGAGAAGCCCCTTTATGAATGGAGACCAGGAAGGGAGGTGCTGCCCTGCCCTTTGATGGACCTCTCAGAGTAAGTCCTGTCCCTAGCCCAGAAAGGAGTATGCAGAGCCCTGGTGCCACCTGCAGGTGCTTGTAACTAATGAGCCTCTGTCCTCCCCAACTCCTGCAGAGGCGTGTTTGTGAAGCTGCGGGACAGGCACCGCCATCCTGAGTGTTATGTGTGCACTGACTGTGGCACCAACCTGAAACAGAAGGGCCATTTCTTCGTGGAGGATCAAATCTACTGTGAAAAGCACGCCCGGGAGCGGGTCACGCCGCCTGAGGGCTACGATGTGATCACTGTGTTCCCCAAGTGACCCAGCGGGTCTGCACCGACTGCTGCTCTCCATCCAGCCCCTGCTGCAGTTTGTTCTCTACGTGTTCTGGCTCTTTCCTCTCTTGAAAGCACCATGCTTTTCTTGGTTTGATCCCTGCTCATTAACCTTGGAGTCCCCCAGCCTTTGCTAACCGACTCACACTGGCCTTGTGATGCCTGCTTTTACACTTAATGGGAGGTGGTTTTGTTCTGTGCCCCTTGCCAGCATCACTGTGTTTTGTCTTCAACTCAGTTCTCTGCTGCAAGTGGACATCAGCTAAATCTAAACCAGACTGAATTTAGTATGTCTGACATTGATTCATTTTTACTCAATAAATTTACAGACTCTGAAGCAGTGTGATGTCTGTTATCATTGGACCATGTGTCTTTTTTCCTACCTCAAGCCTGCTGAGACTTCTGAGGCCCCTATGCGCGTTTTGGGTTTTCCACTTCTCTGAGATGTGCAGGATTTTTCCCCCAGGTGTGAGGAAACTGGCATCTGAACTGCCCAGTGTTCTTACGTTTCTTTGAAGCTTGCTCCAGATTATCTTTCTCTGCTGTCATTGTAAGATACTTAGTTATGTTTGGATGAAATGTTGTTTTCTTTGTATTTGGCGCTTATCCAAGGAGATGAAAGCTTCCCAAATAATAGGTAAGGAGCCATACCAGTCAACTTAAAATATTTCCCTGTAAATCCTTCTCCAGGCTGGTTGCTGCCACCCCAACCCCTCTCCGCTGTGAAGGGAAGCAGACTCAGAAACGTGGCCAGCAGTACTAAACCTACAGAGAGCTCAGGGAACTGGCAAATGCCTCCTGCTCACAAGAAACTGGGAGCCTCAGCAAAGGAGCCTTGAGTCTGGATCTGAGATCACCATAGTTCATCTCCAGGTGACTAACCCCTAGTGGAGTCATTTGCCCAAAGCAGCCAGAGACTGAGACTAAGCAGTTGTTATGAGAGGTGGACAGGGCACTTCAGCCAATAACCCTCCCTCCCAAAGAGCACAGCATCCGTCCTTAAGCAGTGTTCATCACCACGAGTAATAGTGTATGACCTTTACTGATGAAGGGGCTAACCTGTCAGTGCTTACTCGAGTATAAGGATTTTAGTTGGGTGGCAGTGCCAGGATTTCATACCACAGATCTCTGAAACTAGAACACACCACTGACAGTTTAGACAGCAGCAGTTCTAGTGCCACAAAACCCTGAACTGAAACCTTTCAGGAAGAAAATGACTTCATGTTAAAGCTCTAGTTTTTTTTTAAATATTTTTTTATTGTTGTAGTTTAAGTGAAAGTTTACAATTCAAGTTAGTCTCTCATACAAAAATTTATACATACATTGTTATGTGACCCTAATTGCTCTTCCTATACTGTGATAGCACACTCCTCCTTTCCACCCCGGATTTCCCGTGTCCATTCAAACAGCTCCTGTCCCTCTCTGCCTTCTCATCTCACCTCCGGACAGGAGCTGCCCATTTAGTCTCATGTATCTACTTGAGCTAAGAAGCACACTCTTCACGAGTATCATTTTATGTCTCACAGTCCAGTCCAATCTTTGTCTGAAGAGTTGGCCTCGGCAATTGTTTTAGTTCTAGGTTGACAAAGAGTCCAGGGACTGTGCTTTCTGGGATTCCTCCAGTCTCAGTCAGACCATTAAGTCTGGTCTTTTTACTAGAATTTGGGTTCTGCACTCCACTTTTCTCCTGCTCCGTCAGGGACTCTCTGTTCTGTGTCAGGGCGGTCATTGGTGGTAGCTGGGCACTATCCAGTTCTGGTCGCAGGCTGATGAAGTCTCTGGTTTATGTGGCCCTTTCTGTCTTTTAGGCTACTACTTTCCTTGTGTCTTTGGTGTTCTTCATTTTCCTTTACTCCAGGTGGTTGGAACCAATTGATGCATTTTAGATGGTTGCTTGCTAGCTTTTAAGACTCCAGATGCCACTCACCAAAGTGGGATGCAGAACATTTTCTTAATAAACTTTGTTATGCCAGTTGACCTAGATGTCCCCTGAAAGCATGGTCCCCAGACCCCTGCCCCTGCTACTCTGCCCTTCGAATTGTTTGATTGTATTCAGGAAGCTTCCTAGCTTTGGTTTAGTCCCATTGTGCTGACTTCCCCTGTAGTGTGTACTGTCCTTCCCTTCACCTAAGATAATTCTTGTCTACTATCTAGTTAGTGACTAACCCTCACCCTCCATCCCCACCCTCGTAACCATCAAAGAATGTTTTCTTCTGTGTTTAAACCTTTTCTTGAGTTCTTATAATAGTGGTCTTATATAATATTTGTCCTTCTGTGACTGACGAAATTCACTCAGCATAATGCCCTCTAGATTCTTCCATGTTATGTTTCAGGGCTTCATCATTGTTCTTTATCGTTGCATAGTATTCCATTGTGTGAATATACCATAATTTGTTTATCCATTTATCCAGTGATGGGCACCTAGGTTGTTTCCATCTTTTTGCTATTGTGAACAGTCTAGTTTTTTTTTTTTTTGAAGTTAATTAGGCCTTACTTTAAATCAGGGCTTTGAATTGGTTCATTCTGGTTTGACCACTTGCTGTGAATTTGCATTCCCACCCCAGGTATACTGAATCAGAATCTACATTTTAATAAGATACCCTAAGGTGAGGCCTGAGATCCTGCATTTCTAGGAGGCTCCCATGTGATACTGATACTGCTGGTCCATGAATCACATTTTGAGAGGCAAGTTTCTAGAATACCGACTTTGCCATAACTCAGGTAATTAGGCAACAGTATTGCATTTCAGCTGATTATTAGGAATTATATTTCACAGTGTTCTTTTTACTAAGATACAATGAAATTCAGATCTTTTTCCTTGAGTTTCGATTATTGTATGTACCCCAGTTAGGATATGACTATTTCCTTTGTCCCATGTTAACCTTCCCTGATGTTCCTTTTCAGCCAGTTTGCTCCCACTCCCACCACAACTGAGGGGCACCACATGCTTAGCCTTTCCTTGGGGTTGCCCAGTTGCCCCTCCCCACACTTCCTGTGGCTCTGCTCCTGACTTCACCAGGTCCCAGAGTCATGGGTTTGCTGCTCTGTGACCTCCTTGATATCTGACCTTCACCCCAACTGCTCTCTTGGCTGGAGCAGGCCTGCGTGTAACACAAGTTCGTAGACTCAGCCCCTGAAATCCACCAGGTCTCATGGAGCTGCATCTTCTCTCCCCAAGACCACTGGGATCCTTGAATGCCTGGCTCTGTGGGCCGCTACATCAGGCTGGGCACGACCTGGCTGTGCTGTCCCTGGGGAGACAGGCCCTCACTTACTAGTCTGATCCTTGAGGCCAGGGCCTAAAATAGTAGGAGAAAATGTTAAACGTTTAGGTAACTGGTGTATAGTCAGGTCAAGTATGCCAAACACAGAGAGTGTCATGTAAAGGAGTTGAGTTTGATTAAACTCTTATGTTTTGTTAGTAAAACTGTGAAGATTGGGTTCAGAAGAATGTGGTTACTTCCAGTGTCCCACCCTCCAAACTTTTTATCCTGGTGACTCAGTCATGTTTGTTCTACTTTCTGAAATCATATCACTGTAGAATTTTTCTTTTATTGCTGTTATTATACTATATATAAAAACAAGAATGCTTTTCTTTGGCCTGTATTTCTTATCTGTGCTTTTGTCCCAGAATTATTTTTAAAATACTGTGGTGTTTTGTGTCAGTATCTTACAGTCTAAAGTCTAAGACTTGGAATTCTTGGGTGGCCCAAATGGCTAAGGGCTCAGCTACTAACCTAAAGGCTGGTGGTTTCTTTCTTTCATTTTTTTTTTTTTTTTTAATATTTTATTGTACTTCAGGTGAAGGCTTACAGAACAGATAGTTTCTCATGTAACAGTAAC